CAAGGATCTCTCTGTACTCTGTTCATCTTTGCCTCGATCCTGACTAGTCTCCCAGTCCGTGCCACTGAAAAACATCCCCACAGCATGCTGCCACCATCATGCTTCACCATAGGGATGGTGCCAGGTTTCCTCCAGACGTGACGCTTGGCATTCAGGCCAAAGAGTTCAATCTTGATTTCATCACACCAGAGAATCTTGTTTCTCATGGTCTGAGAGTCTTTAGGTGCCTTTTGGCAAACTTCAAGTGGGCTGTCATGTGCCTTTTACTGAGGAGTGGCTTCCGTCTGGCCACTCTACCAAAAAGGCCTGATTGGTGGAGTGCTGCAGAGATGGTTGTCCTTCTGCAAGGTTCTCCCATCTCCACAGAGGAACTATGGAGCTCTGTCAGAGTGACCTCCCTGACCAAGGCCCTTCTCCCCCGATTGCTCAGTTTGGCTGGTCGGCAAGCTCTAGGAAGAGTCTTGGTGGTTCCAAACTTCTTCAATTTAAGAATGATGGAGGCCACTGTGTTCTTGGGGACCTTCAATGCTGCAGAAATGTTTTTGGTACCCTTCCCCAGATCTGTGGCTTGATACAATCCTGTCTAGGAGCTCTACGGACAATTCCTTCATCCTCATGGCTTGGTTTTTGCTCTGACATGCACTGTTAACCAGGGGACATTATATACTGTTGAAGTCGGAAGTTTACATACACTTAGGTTGGAGTCATTAAAACTCGTTTTTCAACCACTCCACAAATTTCTTGTTAACAAACTATAGTTTTGGCAAGTCGATTAGGACATCTACTTTGTGCATGATACAAGTAATCTTTCCAACAATTGTTTAAAGACAGATTATTTCACTTATAATTCACAATTCCAGTGGGTCAGAAGTTTACAAACACTAAGTTGACTGTGCCTTTAAACAGCTTGGAAAATTCCAGAAAATGTAATTGCTTTAGAAGCTTCTGATGGGCTAATTGACATCATTTCAGTCAATTAGAGGTGTACCTGTGGATGTATTTCAAGGCCTACCTTCAAACTCAGTGCCTCTTTGCTTGACATCATGGGAAAATCATAATAAATCAGCCAAGACCTCAGAAAAGAAATTGTAGACCACAACAAGTCTGGTTCATCATTGGGAGCAATTTCCAAATGCCTGAAGGTACCACGAACATCTGTACAAACAATAGTACGCAAGTATAAACACCATGGGACCACGCAGCCGTCATACCGCTCAGGAAGGAGATGCGTTCTGTCTCCTAGAGATGAATGCACTTTGGTGCGAAAAGTGCAAATCAATCCCGGAACAACAGCAAAGGACCTTGTGAAGATGCTGGAGGAAACAGGTACAAAAGTATCTATATCCACAGTAAAACAAGTCCTATATCGACATAACCTGAAAGGCCGCTCAGCAAGGAAGCAGCCACTGCTCCAAAACCGCCATAAAAAAGCCAGACTACGGTTTGCAACTGCACATGGGGACAAAGATCAAACTTTTTGGAGAGATGTTCTCTGGTCTGATGAAACAAAAATAGAACTGTTTGGCCATAATGACCATCGTTATGTTTGGATGAAAAAGGGGTAGGCTTGCAAGCCGAAGAGCACCATCCCAACCGTGAAGCACGGGGGTGGCAGCATCATGCTGTGGGGGTGCTTTGCTGCAGGAGGGACTGGTGCACTTCACAAAATAGATGGCACCATGAGGAAGGAAAATGATGTGCATATATTTAATATATATTGAAGCAACATCTGAAGACATCAGCCATCACACAAAGCCCTGACCTCAATCCTATAGAAAATGTGTGGGCAGAACTGAAAAAGCGTGTGCGAGCAAGGAGGCCTACAAACCAGCTCTGTCAGGATTCACCCAACTTCACCCAACTTATTGTGGGAAGCTTGTGGAAGGCTACCCGACACGTTTGACCCAAGTTAAACTATTTAAAGGCAATGCTACCATATTCTAATTGAGTGTATGTAAACTTCTGACCCACTGGGAATGTGATGAAAGAAATAAAATATGAAAGAAATAATTCTCTCTACTATTATTCAGACATTTTCACATTCTTAAATTAAAATGGTGATCCTAACTGACCTAAGACAGGGAATTTTTACTGTGATTAAATGTTTGGAATTGTGAAAAACTGAGTTTAAATGTATTTGGCTAAGGTGTATGTAAACTTCCGACTTCAACTGTTGACAAGTATGCGCCTTTCCAAATCATGTCCAATCATTTTGAATTTACCACAGGTGGGCTCCAATCAAGTTGTAGAAATATCTCAAGAATGATCAATGGAAACAGGATGGACCTGAGCTCAATTTCGAATCTCATGGCAAAGGGTCTGAATACTTATGTAAATGAAATTTCTAAAAGCCTGTTTTTGCTCTATCATTATGGGGTATTGTATATAGATTTCTGAGGATTATTTAAAAAAAATCCATTTTAGAATAAGGTTGTAATGTAACAATGTGGAAAAAGTCAACGCGTCTGAATACTTTCCCGAAGGCACTGTACAAGGGTGTAGTGCGATGGGTTGGACGATACTTTTCTCGTCAATCATCTTGAAAAAGTGTACTTATAAACTGAAAATCAATCAATGTCAGCCTTTAAATGCTTTATTATCCAAATGTTGAAAGTGCCTATGGGCGACGGAGAGAAACAAAATGGTGCAGTTTGAGGCCATGTGGCGGAGAGTGATGCAGGCGCTGGTGATGGGGGTTTGAGCAGGTGGGTCTGGGCAGGTGTGATGTAGTTGTCGTTTGTATGTTTTGTCCAAAAAGATCAAATTAAATAATACAAAAAAATGAAATAAGGAAAAATGACAAGCTTGCAACACGCATCTGATTATTCATTATGAATAGGATTTATTTGATTTATTTTGTTTACATTCTTCATTGTAACCACAATGTCACAAATAATTGAACACACACAACATGAGCAGATTAACTTGGTCAAAACATTTATTTATTAAAGACTATCAGAAAGAATGTTGGTACTTATTTATTTTGATCCAAAGCCACGAATGAGTGAGTCACTGCTTTATGCTGATAAATATAGCTTTATGCTGCGACATAGCCTACTAAATAGGCTAAGCCTGAAAGGAATAGATTAAATTGCCTAAACTAGTAGATTTCATAAATAAATGAAGTAGCTCAGGTCTTGAAAATATGGGCAACCTTTTTCCCCTCCCTGTCCTCGCTGGACTCTCTTTCATTCAGTTTGTTCTTCACATCAGCAAAGAAGGACTCCGTGTTTCACAAACTAACTTTATATAGAGGGGCTATCACTTTCACACTGTGGTAAATAAAGCCAGGTTGTTATTTAGAATTATTTCTGTCTGTTTTTAGAAGGTGAGAAACCAAAAGCCCACCGTGCCTATTTAAAAAAAATTGTCACTCCACATGTCAAGTGTAATTGTGCCATTGTATTTACCCAAGTTCTCTCAACTCCGGGACCACCTGCCAGCAATTATTACTTTTTTGCCTGATGCAGGACTCTAGTGCCAGAGAAGAGAGACTCTTGGACTGTAACATTCACACCTCCAATTATTTACGAAAAGATAGTCAATTTGTGTCACAGTTCAGACTACCGATAGATCAGCATTCTAACTCCCCCTTGTGATAGTGTGATACCACAATCTGCCACCATCTACCACAAATGGTAGCGGCATAAGCTCAAACCTTTTAATTGAGGAACTGTAGTTAACTCCAAAAGTGGTTATAGTGTTGACTGCATGCTGACAGTGAATTCAGAGCCAGTCAGTGGCTAACTACACTACAACCATACTTTTGCCAGACCCCGTTAAGCAATTGTAATGACAGTCCACCACAACATACCAAACAGTTTCCTGATTAGCAAGGGGTAGTCTGTGTTTAATTTAATTGTGTATTAGAAACAAAGTTTGAGATCATTGTGTGGGGATTTCGCCAGTGGTTGAATGTGGAATTGGGCTTCCCGGGAAAATGTTGTCCGAGGTTGAAACAGTAACCAAGGAGGGTGGGGCTTAGCGAAGGGTCAATTGTTGAGGAATTGTACTTACGAACTATCTTATTAACTTTTTCTTAAAGGCCTAGTGCAGTCAACACTGAGGTTGGAATAATACTGTGAAATAGTGCAAATTATGATAATGCCCTTTTAGTCTAAGAGCTGTTTGGAAAGACTGCCTAAAATTTCAGCCTGTTTTGTTGGGATGGAGTTTTGGCCTTTCCATGGTGACATCACCATGCGGTAAATTAGTTAATAGACCAATAAGAAAGAGTTTCAAACCTCTGCCAATAACGGCTAGTTTTCAGTTTTCCCCTCCCCTCTCAGACCACGACCAGCAAACGACCTAGCAAAGTTATTGCTTGAGAAATTGCTATTTGCTAAGAAGCAATCACAGTAAGGTACTTAATTGTTACCAAGAAATGATTTGATATTGAAATTAAAAACGGCTACATTGGGGCCTCCCGAGTGGCTCATGCTAGAGGCATCACTACAGACCCGGGTTCGATCCCAGGCTGTGTTGCAGCCTGCCGCGATCGGGAGACCCATGAGACGGCGCACAATTGGCAGCATCGTCCGGGTTAAGGGAGTGTTTGGCCGGGTGGGATTTCCTTGTCCCATCGCGCTCTAGCGACTCCTTGTGGCGGGCCGGGCGCATGCATGCTGACTTCGGTCGCCAGTTGTACGGTGTTTCCTCCAACACATTGGTGCAGCTGGCTTCCGGGTTAAGTGTGCAGTGTGTCAAGAAGCAGTGCGGCTTGGCAGTGTCGTGTTTCGGAGGACGCATGGCTCTCGACCTTCGCCTCTCCCAAATTCATACAGAAGTTGCAGCGATGGGACAAGACTGTAACTACCAATTGGATATCACGAAATTGGGGAGAAAAAGGGGTAAAAAGTACAACCACAAAAAAAAAAAAAGCTTTACGTTTTTGCGTAGTGTTTTGTGAATCTAGGCCCAGGGCTTTGTCATTGAATAGACTTAAGTTATCTCTGAATTTAGATGGTGCTAATTGTTGGTTGGTTTGTTTTCCCACCAGTTTACCCCTGAGGTTCTGGATCAACATCCTGAAGAACCCCCAGTTCATCTTTGACGTTCAGGCATCAGACCATGTGGATGCTGTGCTGTCTGTCATAGCCCAGACCTTCATGGACTCCTGTACCATCGCAGAGCACAAGCTGGGCAGGGTGAGCAAACACAGGGAGAGGAGAACTTACGGAGGATGCTAAGGGGGAACGGAAGGTCTAGCAGAAAATAAGGGAGAGTAGAGATGCCAGGGGTTTTGAAAGAAAGGATACTAGATAAAGAACGAGAGCATGCAGGTTCTAAACATTCATGTAACCATACTGTGTTTTGAGTATAACATGTACATTTTTCCCCCTCTAGGACTCTCCTATCAACAAGTTGTTGTATGCCAGAGATATCCCACGGTACAAGCAGATGGTAGAGAGGTGAGAATACGCCAGGCTCTTGCCCTCCTGACCCTGGGTGTGAAAGACTGGCAGAGCAGAGAGGGCACAGCCAATGTGTCCGTGCCATGCAGCGGCCACACTGAGCCTGCAGGGCTTCTTCTACGGAGAGTCTGTCTGGCAGCACGCTGCACACACCATTGCTGTAGCTATACACTATGGTTGAGGGAACTCAGTCAGACAAATTATATTGTAGTCATTAGCATGAAATGGATTTCGTAAAGGAAACACCATGTATTCGTTTAACCATTTATTAGAAAAGATTAACAATACATTAGGTCTTGGGAATTGGCTCTGCTCCTTCAGGGTAGCTCAATGCCAGAGCAAAGCTTCACTATATAATAAAATAACTACAGGCAGTGAGCAGGGTATTATATACCACTCCCCCTGCAGGAAGGAAAATGGAACCAAAGAGGTGGAGGCTGGGGTGGTGATGGTGGGTAGCAAGAACAAGCAAACTCATACTAGCAGTAGCAGAAAGCGGCAGAGGATATGTGAGCAGAACCTGGTCAGTTTAAATAGACCGCCATATTAAGTATGAAGTCTTAGCATCTGATCTGCACCAGTCTCAGGCAGGTTAGCATTTTTCGTCATTAATCTTGTTCTGGAGGCAGCGCTGCTGTGGTCACTAGCTGACAAAAAGCTAATTTTTGTTTTCATTAATTTGTACAATAAAGCTGGCTCATATTGCGGAAATCGCTCAGATCTACCTCAAGGACAAGACTCATCCAAATAAACATCAACCTGCCAATCTCAGCTGATGCATATAATTGGGTTTCCCTTCTGAACCAGCTTCGCTTTATGAATGAGTGGTGTATGAGTGTATAGCATATGGATTTTATGAAGGGTGCACTAATCTGAGATTTCCATTCCCTCTCTACTTCTGTCTCTCTTTTCAGATACTATGCAGACATCAGGCAGACCATTTCTGCCAGTGACCAGGAAATGAATTCTGCTCTTGCAGAACTGTCTCGAGTATGTAACATAATTTTTTTTTTTAACTACACCGTGGTGCATGTTTGAGGTTCATTTCCTGCTGTAGGCGTTTTCCGTTTAATCTTTGGTTGTTTTTACATAGAGCACTTAGAAGTTATGAACCAAAGTTTTAGTATTTCCACCTTTCTTTACAGAATTATGCTGGTGAGGTGAACTACCTTGTGGCCCTGCATGAGCTGTACAAGTACATCAACAAGTACTACGATCAGGTGAGTCCAACATTTCTATCCATTGGTTTTTGAGGCCCATGCTTGTAATTTCTATTTGATGTCAAGCTAGTTGAGATGAACTTAACCTGTTATTGGTACTGTCTCCTTCCAGATCATCACTGCTCTAGAGGAGGACCCTACAGCTCAGAAGATGCAGTTGGGCTACAGGCTCCAGCAGATCGCGGCTGCCGTGGAGAATAAAGTCACAGACCTATGATAAGAGTGGCCCTGAGACAGGACAGGCCGAGACCCTGAGGAAAAGACAGCTGCTGAGAGGAGTAGTCTGAAATGAAAATAATGTGTGAAAAGGAAAAAGACTCAGTGAAAGGAACCTTGTGCATACAGGGTGTGATTTCCCTCTCTTTTTGGCAGACTGAAGGAAGCAAAGAAGGTTGAGGGGCACTCAAAGTGGTGCCCTTCTCTTTTGGCCATATCCGTGTGGAGTTACTGTGCGTAGATTCTCCTGACGAGCTGCACAGGACATTTCCATAGCAACCTGACTCCATTTATCCGCTACTACTCAGTGTGTAGATACATAGACATCCTGAGTAAGTGAGCAAAGCCCTGTTGAACTCTCTGGACTGCTGCAGAGTTTCTGCAACACAAACTCAACGTCTTACTGGGAGGAAATGGATGGATAAATCTTACAGCACTAACATTTATTGAATAGCACTTAGTGCATTGACGCTATTGTCATTCACTTGCTAATGCCTTCTGTTCCTTGAATCATGTTTTCAAAGTCTTACTTTTCTGGTATAACTATCCTTTGCAGACAATGTGTGAGGTAGTATTGTCTTCACTCTTCCTTTTCACTCCCCATCAATGTCTATGTCGATCCACAAACATTTTTCTGCTTCATGTAGTTGGACACTAAAGAACAGACTGCTTTCAATACATTGTGAAAATGTTAGGTACTCCATGTGCTGGCTTTTATGATCACCCAGATTTGATATTGTCTGATTTGAATGTTCCTTTCCAAAATTATGTGTAATGTACAAGTAATTTTTTTGCATTTCTCATGGTAATTCTACGGTTCCCTATAATTGCAGTAGCCAAGCTGATATTTTCCGTCCTAATGCTGAGATAATGATAGACATCTCTAGCCTAAACCTCCAGAGAGAAATCTCAGCTAGTTCATGTTAAATCTGCAGAATGTTCCCTTCTCTTAGCACTGTGCCAGACTTCACTACTACACTACACATTATCTTTAAATGGCAGACCAGAAGGTGCTCTCAGATAAGGTGTATTTTGTGAGCACAGGATCTAGTAATCAAACACAACAATTCACAGAACAGAATGTTTGTTTTAGAAAATGGATGGTTATGATGTAAAGGAAGTTTGAAGTTGTGACCAATATGACATTTTCTGTCAACACTGTGGGATGCGACAACTAACAATCAACAGTTGTTCCGGTTCACAGGTTATTCGACACTGATTATTTGAACAAATCACGATTTAGCAGGGTGTGCGTGTCTTTCGAAATTCGGAAGGGGGGGGTGACATTTGGCCCATTAACTTGAAAGAAACTTGCAGAGAAAGGGGGTGGAGCTACCGTTCTACTTCCACTCCTCATTCTAGTATCTGACGCAATTACTTGAGATTTTAGTTCTGGGTGTCCGAGATTCGTATAGTTTTAAAGGTTGAGCGAAATGAGTTTGAGATTGGCAATATAATATTGTTTATCTCATAAAAGCGTGACATGTTTTTAGTCTCAACAATGAATCCTTTTGCCCAAGACTTCATCACTGACCTCTTTATGACTGAAATTAAACGGTAGCCCTATTGTTTGAGTTTCACTAATACAACATTTTAACCCTCAAGCTACTGACTGGGGTCATTTTGACCCCATAGGCGTATTTGTTATCATAGCCCAAAGGTGGTTTATAAAATTCTTCAAATTTGTCATGACTTTGTCAATTAACTTGTTCTTAACAAATCTAAATCCCATGTTTAGTGTTTCTGTATCATTATAGGGGTCATTCCACCAAGTCGATGCCTTTTGGATGTGTAATTTTGTGAAAACAAATGTTCGATTTCACTTCATTTTAACATTCTGTCATAAAGAGCACATGTTCAACTTAATTAAAAAATGTGTTTTCCCATCTCAATAGGTAAAAAAAAAAATACTATAGTAAGTGCCTATTAAGTGCCAAATATATTAACATGGTTGACTGTAACAGGGTTAACGATTTCGTCTTAAATCAGCCATAAATCTCCTTGTGACAGGGGGAATGGAAGCTTGTTGTGTGCAACAGGGAGGGGCAATTGAGTGCAAGCTTCACCATTTAAAAAAAATATTGTTAAAACATTTCTAGTGTGTTTATCTATGGGTAACAGGGTTGACATGTTATGCTCGACCCACTCAGTTTTCCACCTCAAAACACCCAAAAATTGCCAAAAAGAGTAGAACCTGTTCACCTGCTTTTACACTGATGTCACTATCAGATGTTCAATGTTTCTTTTGTAAAAAATATTTTAAAAGGCATAGTTTCCCCATTTAAAAACAAGAGTTCAGTTCGCGTAACAGGGTTCACCTTAAAATGAGGGACAGGTTTTTTTTTAACCTTAAAATGAATCACTAATCACATTAAATAAATAATCTTCAGGAATGACATTGTCAAAGCAACAAAATAACCAGGGCTACACAATCATGGTGAAATATTCCTGGAAGTCACAGAGGATGCATGGAGGGACATGTCAAAATGCAGAATTTTGGCACTTTAACAAGTCTTTATTCATATACAAAATATGCTTTATTGAATTGTGCATGTGGTCTATATTAAAGGGCACGTCATTGAATATAACAGGCTTTTAAAATTCAATATTGGTGCAAAATTTCTACTTAAAATGTCAAAGGGACGCAAAAGGCACTTATTTCGTGGAACAACCCATGGACTTTTCAGAAATTCAATTCCTTTGGGGTAATTTTGACCCCAGCCAAAAACACAAAATATTGTCTATAGTAATTTGATTTTTAAAAATGACCTTTTATTTTAATCAAGGTTTCTCTAGAGACATAAATACAAGTTATGCATAGCGTGGAGGGGGACCTGTATCAGTGATTTTGATCCAATGCAGAGCTACAGCTCCCCATGTACTCGCCTAACATTGTACCTTTCTTTACCACGTATCATATGACTGTACTACAAAACCGAAATTACCTTATTTTTGTGTATATAAAAATATGCCAATGGTGTACAAAGTCTGCCAGTGGTATAAATACTTGATAGAACTGCAATAGAGAACTCAGATACACTCTATCTACATAGAGCGCTATATTGGTGTGTATTCTGTGAAAAGTTGTTATTCTAGGGCAAATCCAAAAATTTGAATCCAGGTTTCTCTGGAGACATAATATTAAGTTATACGTATCATCAGAGGATGGAGGGGGACCTGTTTGAGTGATTTTGACCAGATAGACCGATCACCTGCAGAGATGGATCACCTTATGTACTTGCCTATTGTTACAAATCAAATCAATCACATTTTATTTGTCACATGCTTCGTAGACAACCGGTGTAGACTAACAGTGAAATGCTCACTTACGAGTCCTTTTCCAACAATGCAGAGTTAAATACTTTTTAAAAATTGTGACACGAGGAATAAATACACAGTGAATAACAAATAAAAATAAAGAGTAGTGGTAGCAGCAGGGTGTTTGTGTGGCATCAGTGCGTGTAAAAAAAATAAAGGGTAAATGCAGGTAGTCCAGGTAGCCATTTAATTAGGTATTTACCAGTCTTGTTTAAAAGTCTTATGGCTTGGGGGTATAAGATGTTCAGGGTCCTTTTGGTTCCAGACTTGGTGCATTGGTACCGCTTGCCATGCTGTAGCAGAGAGAACAGTCTGTGGCTTGGGTTGATGGAGTCTTTGACAATTGTTTGGGCCTTCCTCTGACACCGCCTGGTATAGAGGTCCTGGATGGACGGAAACCCACTACCCTAAATGAACACATAGTGCTGTGTTGTGTATTCTCTACGGTAAATGTTATATAAATTCCTATATCCTCCAATATTCTATGGGTGCAAGCAACTTGTGATATTTTAGATGCCATATAATTTGTTTTGAGGTTACTTTGGGCATGCTTTTTGAAGCATGCTGCCATAGCCCCTTCCACTCCCATTATTTTACTAACAGCGATGGTAAGGCTGTCTGTGGGGTAAGTAAATAAAGTAAACTAAGCCATATGTTTGGTAAATTTCTTTCAGGGTCACTTTTTGAAGTGAACTGAATCATTACTGTAAAAAAATATATATAATATTTAAAATTGTGTACTGTCCCTTTAAATAGCAGTAATTTTTACCACATAAAATATAACAATTTTATATTTTCAACATTCTTTCAACTAAATTATACTATAATAGAATTGGAGAACATTTTGGAGAAAATGCTGCACATTGAATGAAGGAAACATATTTTCGTTTTTACAGAATATGCAAATTAACTTGAATTTAGTTAAAATAACAGTGTTTCGGTCTCTTTTTTTCAGATTACATTAGTTATATGTCTAATGATGCTTTGATAAGAAATAAGTTGCTATTTTGCTATGACTGTTGCTTTTTCCAATAGTTCCTTCTTGGTGTAAAAATTGACCCCAATTGGGGATCGATGTATGTAAAATATGTTGGTAGCTTGAGGGTTAAAGTCCTTTTTAGGTTTTAACATTTTTATTTATTTATTTATTTTCCTGTCTGATTGGCTGCTGGTTGGTTATCTATTTACGAAGACCAAAATATCAATGGAATTACAATGAAACCCACCGTTTGAAAGTGAGATCCGATTTCATGCAAACACCTGTCATATTCTTCTTTGGTACTGATGACATGGTCCAGAATGAATGAATTACACTGTTATTTTTTTATTTTCTTATATAAATGCAGTAGAAACTTTATGTAGGCCTATACTGGTCATGTTTTGGCTTTTGACCCTTTTTGATTTTGTTTGTGGGTTGGGTAAGGGTATACTGTACTTTTAGTCAGGTGAGTATCAAAATTACGACTCACATTACGTTCTGGGACTACTGCTTTTTGACATGTCAGTTTTGACATACATTTTTAGAAGTCAAGCTATAATAAGGGAATAGCTGTTTGTTAGTAATGTAGAGCAAGTTATGTTGGCGATAAAGTACATTTTTGTCATCTGTTGCCATGGACATTACTGTTGCTATCATTGTTTGTTTTCCTTGCTAAATTCAAGCATTATTTGTATTTCCTTGTA